GGACCAGAGTCCATCTCTCTCGTTCATGGCGGCGACGACCCAGGCAAGCCTTCTGCTTCAAAAGCAGCTCCGTGGTACGGATCGAATCTTCCTATGCCTGCTTCTTTTCTTGCGTGGGGTTTCGGTTCTAGGATTTCTTGTGCGATCAATCGAGGCTTATGGCTTGTTTGTCTTGTTCTTGGATCAGATCTCATGAAGAACCCGGTGGACGGGTTCTCTGCTGGCCTGGTTGATGACAGCAACGTCTTCGAGTGGAACGTCACGATTATTGGGCCGCCGGATACGCTTTAGTTAGTGATCTTCTCATGAATTGTATAATTTATGTGGTTTCTTTAATTGATTGGTCGAATTTCTTTCTTTCTTCCCTCCGATTTTGTTGCTTTGGTGGATCCTCGTTGTAGTCCGATGGGGTTTTTGCGATTTAGGACGTTAATGGTTTGGAATAGGGAGTTCGTTTTTCTAAAGTTTGGATCTTTAAATTGATCCTGGGAGAAAGGGATATTTATTCTCCTTCGTGAGATTGGTAATGTGAACCTGACTCAGGTTATCGAAATTTCTGTCTCCTGGGACTTGACCTTCTATTGGAATCCGAAGAGGAGTGTAATATGCGGTTCGTGTTTCTTGTTCTGTTTGTTGAGTATTCTTACGGCTTTGTTCCTTTTCCAAGTTCTTTAATTATTTTTGTGAATTTGGTATGATCACGAGCGATGGCTGTTCTGTCACTAATATGTTCTCCACGGTTTGTGATAGATAATCGATTAGAGAACCTTAGATATCAAGACAATGAAACCATAATTTTTTATAGTGCTAAGTGCTATCACTGTTTTGATCTTCTAAATGGGGAAGTCATCTAAAAATATTGTTTTAAACTCCTACCTGATGAGCTTGTTCATTAGATTATTAAGGAAACCATGATGTATGTGCACCAAACTAATGTTCTTGTAAAGTTCAGATTTGAAAAGTTCCATTTATAAACCTTGTCTGTATAAATTCTGTTGCAGTGATGGTGGCTATTTCAATGCCATTATGAGTTTTCCTTCCAACTACCCAAACAGCCCTCCTTCAGTTAGATTTACATCAGAGATGTGGCATCCAAATGGTAAGATACTAAATTTATGTCTACAAGAATTCTTTTCCTTTTATGTATTACTGCAATATTTCTATTGAAGAATGTATCTTTGATGTGAACACCAGTCTACTCTGACGGGCGTGTTTGCATATCTATCCTTCATCCCCCTGGTGATGATCCAAATGGTTACGAGCTTGCAAGTGAACGTTGGACACCTGTGCACACGGTACTACATTTTCTCATTAAATGCTGTGTTTTAAAATACTTTTGCTAGGTAATTAGATTTATTTTATTTTTTGAATCACAATGGGAAGAGAGTATCATTAATTACACTTTATATTGTTGTGTTTAATAAACTAGACATATATAAATGATGTGACTTGAAAATCTTATCATCAATGCTTATGCCTTCAAACATATGTGCAAGAGGGAAAGGAAAAGTAGAGACCATAGTTTGCGGCTTAAAAAGCCTTATCATATTATCTAGTCACCATAGTTTTTAAGATCCATTCATGCACCTACTTATGCTTCTGCATTTGTGGATGCTCTCCGTAGGCCACACTGCATGACCTATATGCAGCGCCAATATGTGGTGTGTTTGTATATGCCTGCTATAAGGTCCATATATATGTAATTTAAGTGCAAATGGCACATAGGTGGTTGCCATGGTGGACCAAGCATATAAGTTGAACCAACCTAACCTGAAGGACTCAATCCATTGGCTATCATCTATAACCATGTTTAAGCTATACCGATAAGGTGGCTCATATTTTCATAGTACATCTATATAAATATGGGCACATGGCTATGTTGGCTTTTAGATATCGGCAGTTATTTTCCATGCCCATGATTCACAATTTTTAATACCATAGTCAGGTCTTAGAAGCTATTCTTTGGTGTCTTCATTATGGTGAGATATGCATTGTTTGTTAGCATGATTTTGAGTAATTTGACGTGGTATGAGTGTTATGAATGAATGAGATTGAGATAACAAGTTAATTTTTAGATTTGGAGGAGCCTTTAATTGAATGGATGGTGGCCTTAGAATTAATCGTGTATATTTGATAGTAAAGATTACTTATGCATGCACATGTCTTCCTACATAAGGTATATGCTCTATGTTGTGATCAGTGTTTTAAATATTGCTATGGCACTTATACCAGAACCTTGTCAGACCAGTACATTTCAATTGCTATGATACCG